CAAGGCAGGACGCAGGGTATTTTGGTGCCTAACTTCCACAGGCAGGGGCCTAAATACTATTGGAGCTGTGGCCCCGCGTGGCCCTTGGCTGCCCGGAGGCGGGGGGTGGGGGGTGCTACTGACTCGCTCTGGGACATGCTGTCCCTGCTCTGAGCTGTCAAGCTGTGTCCCACGTTCCCACGACAACAGGATTTGGGTCCCAGCCCTCGCATCTGCTACAGCCCCGCCCGTTACAGTGGATGCGAGGTTCAGCCGGATGGGAGTTGGGCGCCTAAATACCTTTGGGCCAGTGGGAAGGGCTGAGCGCTGCGTGCGGGGTGTCCGAGGCGAGGTTCAGACGGATGGGAGTTGGGCACCTAAATACCTTTGGGCCAGTGGGAAGGGCTGAGCGCTGCGTGCGGGGTGTCCGAGGCGAGGTTCAGACGGATGGGAGTTGGGCACCTAAATACCTTTGGGCCAGTGGGAAGGGCTGAGCGCTGCGTGCGGGGTGTCCGAGGCGAGGTTCAGACGGATGGGAGTTGGGCACCTAAATACCTTTGGGCCAGTGGGAAGGGCTGAGCGCTGCGTGCGGGGTGTCCGAGGCGAGGTTCAGACGGATGGGAGTTGGGCACCTAAATACCTTTGGGCCAGTGGGAAGGGCTGAGCGCTGCGTGCGGGGTGTCCGAGGCGAGGTTCAGACGGATGGGAGTTGGGCACCTAAATACCTTTGGGCCAGTGGGAAGGGCTGAGCGCTGCGTGCGGGGTGTCCGAGGCGAGGTTCAGACGGATGGGAGTTGGGCACCTAAATACCTTTGGGCCAGTGGGAAGGGCTGAGCGCTGCGTGCGGGGTGTCCGAGGCGAGGTTCAGACGGATGGGAGTTGGGCACCTAAATACCTTTGGGCCAGTGGGAAGGGCTGAGCGCTGCGTGCGGGGTGTCCGAGGCGAGGTTCAGACGGATGGGAGTTGGGCACCTAAATACCTTTGGGCCAGTGGGAAGGGCTGAGCGCTGCGTGCGGGGTGTCCGAGGCGAGGTTCAGACGGATGGGAGTTGGGCACCTAAATACCTTTGGGCCAGTGGGAGGGCTGAGCGCTGCGTGCAGGGTGTCCGAGGCGAGGCCTCCCATCATGCCTCCAGCTAGTTGCAGTGAGTTCCACAGGTTTGGGAGTTGTGTCCTATGGCATTCAGCCCAGAGGGCAAGTCTACGTCTGCCCCACCTAGCACAGCTTCCTTCTTCCCCACCTGACCCAGCCCCAGTCCTGCTTTTCAGGGCTTTAATGGCCCCCTAGCGCTGGGTTGGGGGACACCACCATTTGGCTGGGGGGCAGAGCTCGGAGCTTCCGGGGGGAAGGCCAGGTGCTGAAAACCAGTGACCTGGGAAGGGCTGAGGTGGAGGGAGGGTGAGGACTAGGAAACGCTGGCCCCCAAGTCTCTTTGGTGCTGAAGAGAATCCAGGCAGCCAGCTGCCCCCCTGCTCCAACCACTAGCCCCCACTGCCTCCTGGAGCCAGGACTAGAGCCCAGGTGTCCAGCGTTAAGCGCCCCCAGCCCTCGCTCGCCACTGGCAGGGTGCATGGAGGGAGGAGTGGAAGGAATGTGCTCGCCCGGCCCCAGGCCCAGACGGCGCCGAGCCCTCTTCTGTCAGCGCCGGGGCTGATTTATCCCCGGGACTGTGCCGCGGCCTGTGATCCCCCCAGCTCGGCCCGGCGCAGGGAGACGTTCCATCCGCGGCCACACTAAGCCAGGAACCAGACGGCTGCTCTTCCCCCGCCTCCAAATTCCTCCTCCTCCGCTGGCCTTTCCCTCCGCATTCCCGGAACGCCAGCACAAGTGGAAGCAGCTGAGCGCCATCCCGGGGGTCCTACCTGTCCCGGAGCGGTGGCAGGATGGGAGATTCCCGGAGGCCCGGCTCCCTGGCCGCCCCATGGACCACCTGCTCCCAGGGCTCAGTGGCAGATCTACGCATACTCCAGCCGGGACTGGAGGGGGGAGACCAAGTGTCACCTAGGACCTGCAGCGGTGACCGTGGCTGCTAGTTAAGGGGGACGTGGTAGGAACCTCGGCTTTACCTAGGAAGTGGCAGCTGCGCCCAGCATGGGCCTGAGCCAGCGCCGGCCCTGGGGTGCTTCAGAGAGGGGGGGGGGGGGCTGCTGCCGTAGGAAACATTCACTGCTGAGCCCCCGTGCTCAGTAACGGCTCCGGAACCTTTCTGCGGCGTTGGTGTCTGGCCAAAATCCCAGCGCCTGGTTCCGCCCCCTGCAGCTCCCCCCGGCCAGCAGCCTCGCTGTGACCCCACCGCCGTGCTCCACCCCGGAGCTGGGCGAGGGACCCAGCCAGCTCTCCGGGCGCAATGGCAGCACCAAGAATCCTCGGAACGGGGCGAGAAGGGACCTGGAGGAGTCCAGCCCCCGGAGCCGCCAGGTGTCTGACCACCTGTTCCTGCAGCCCCCCCGCCAGAGCCCACCTGCCCTGAGCGGTAGAAACCTAACCTGCACCCCTTGCTAAGCCCAGTGCTAGGTCAGCTCTGCAGCAGGCCTCCAAGCGGCTCGAGGGCCACGCCTGGGGCAGAGGCTGGCAAAGGAAGTGGAGGCCGAGGCAGGACGGGTTGGACGTGGCACTGGGGGCAAGGGGAGCCATGCTGGGGGGTGGGGGCAGGAAGCTGAGGAGCTCCCTAGCCCTCGCTCCCTGAGGCCGAGCGACGGAAGATGCCTCAAGTGGGCCAGGGCCAGGGCCTGGGCTCCTCCCAAGGCGCACAGCTCTGGGTGGGTGACCTGGTCTGGCGGAGGCCGAAGGGACAGCCCTTTCCTGTGCCTTGTGCAGGTGGAGTCGCTGGCTCCAGAGCGGCAGGGTTGAGAAGTCGCGGGCTCCAGAGCGTCAGGTTTCAGCCCCCCCCCCGTCCTGCTGTGCCTCCAGCTTTGGGCCAGACTGCGCCAAGCCGCCCAGGGCAGCCCTCTGCTAGCTTGGGAGCGGAGGCCAAACTGTGAGTGGGCCTGAAGAACGGGCCCCTTCTGCTCCCGGCCCCCCCATGCTGGAGAGCTAAATGGGCACCACCCCGCTCCTAGGGCCCAGGGGGCTTGGATGCACAGGCTCCTCCAGCTAGCACTGGGGTTGGGGGCTGCTCCAGGGTCTGCCCTGACCCAGGGAGAGGGGGAGTCTGGCTCAGGGAGGCTGAAGGGAAGGCGATGGCAGCCTACAGAACGAAGGGCTCTAATTTAGCGGGTGCCGCTCAGAGCGAGATTGTGGAGTTCTCTGAAAACGTCCCCCCCGTGGGCCGTGGCCGACAGAGCGACCGGGACGTCAGGAATCACTAGGACAGGGCTGGAGAATCTCTTATTGCCGCTCTACAAATCCATGGGCCGCCCACGGCTGGAATCCAGCGCACAGACATGGTCACAGAACGAAGGGCTCTAATTTAGCGGGTGCCGCTCAGAGCGAGATTGTGGAGTTCTCTGAAAACGTCCCCCCCGTGGGCCGTGGCCGACAGAGCGACCGGGACGTCAGGAATCACTAGGACAGGGCTGGAGAATCTCTTATTGCCGCTCTACAAATCCATGGGCCGCCCACGGCTGGAATCCAGCGCACAGACATGGTCACCTCCCCTCCGAAAAGATCGCTGGGCGTTGGAAACGGTTCAGAAAAGGGCAACAATGAGGAGGGGTTTGGAACGGTCCCGTATGACGAGCGATGACAAAGACTGAGGCGACGTCTACACTGCCCTCTCTTGTGCAAGAAACTATGGAAATGAGGCAAAGCAGTGAATATCGCTGTACCTCATTTGCATACTTAATGAGCCACCATTTGGCGCAAACCCCCCCCTTGCGCAAGAGCCATTCTGCCGATTTTTTCCAGGAAGAATGGCTCTTGCGGAAAAAGGAGCAGTGTAGACAGCTCCTTTTCGCGCAAAAGCCCCTTGCGCAAAAATGGCAGCTTATTAAATATGCAAATGAGGCACAGCGATATTCACCTTTGCCTCATTTGCATATTTTCTTGCACAAGAGAGGGCAGTGGTGATGTAGCCTGGGACTTTTCAGCTTAGAAAAGAGGAGACTAAGGGAAGATATGACAGAGGTCTATAAACTCATGACAGATGTGGAGAAGTGAATAAGGAAAATCTATCCGCTTGTTCCCATAAGAACTAGGGGCCACCGGATGAAATGAACAGGTAACAGGCTTAAAACAAACCAAAGGGAGTGTTTCTTCACACAACGCACAGTCAACCTGCGGAACTCCTTGCCAGAGGATGTTGTGAAGACCAGGACTTTTAACAGAGTTCACGAAAGCTGGATAAATCCACGGAGGTGAGGTCCATCAGTGGCTATTGGCCAGGCTGGGCAGGGACGGTGGGAATGGGCGACGGGGGAAGGATCTCGTGATGATCCCCTGGTCTGTTCCCTCCCCCGGGGCGCCTGGCCTTGGCCGCTGCCGGAAGACTGGACTCTGGGCTAGACGGGCCTTTGGTCTGATACGTTCGAATGCCACTTGCTGCCTCCGGAGGGCTGTCTGTGGCGAGTGACCCGAGTGCGTTGTGGGAAAGGGAGACACTGGAACTTGCCGCCTCGCAAGCGTGGAGAGGGAAACCTGCCTGATCCGCAGCCCAGTAAATCCCAGCTCCATCCCCTCCGTCAGGGCCAGGAGTCCCCCTTTCCGGCTGTCTCGCCAGACAGACAGAGGCCTGGGCAGCCCGGCCGGCCCCGCGCTCGCGCTCGAGTAGCAATGTTACCAGATGGCTCAGTGTTACCCTAACCCACCCCTGCCAGGACCCTATAATTTATGTCCAATCCCCCCTCCACCCCCCCTCCCTCCAAAGGTATTTGCACAGCAGATCTGGGTGTAATCAAGTCCAGGAATTTCCATTCAAGTATCCTGGGATGTTTTTTTCCCCCAAGATTTTCCGTTAACCCTTTCAGACGGGGAGGGGAGGATAAGGACTTAACTGCACCCCAGCCCCTCCAATCCAACGTCGCTTTCGGTCACACGGCCTGGGGGCGGGGTGACTGGGTGGGCCCCATCTGCCGTCTTGGGGTGCAATTCTCGGCTGCTTCGCGGGTCCTTGCCCGGCAGCCCAGCTCGCAAGGGTTCTAACGGCCGGGGCCAAAGACGCTCCCCTGACTGCAAGAGGCAGGCAGGGATCAAGACACCAGTGCCAGACACTCCACGGGAACGCGGCTCTCCAGCCCCGTTTGGCCCAGCATGGAGCGTCCAGGGACACACACAGTTAACGCCTGTCCTGCCAAGCCCCCGGGCCGTCCCAAAGAGGATATAAATTAGAGACCAGCCACCTTCCTGTCAGAAGCCAACCCGGGAAGGATGGACTCATCCCGGCTCCTCTGCGGCGTCTCGCTCATCCTCCTGGTCAGACCCGCTGTCTCCCAGGCAGTGGAAAGCAGGAGGCCCGCGGTGATGGAAGAGCAAGAGCCAGGTACCAGCCGCAGGGGCCTGCACTGGGCGCGCCTAGGTAGGCCACGCTTCTGCTCTATTCCCACCCGGGCTGGGCAGGGCCAGGCACCTGGCCTGTAGTTATCTCCCCCACCTCAGCCATTCCGGGGTTAGGGGCAAACCAGCCCCAAGCTCTGGAGTCCCGTGACGGCATTTCTCCAGCACCCCCCGCCCCTCCCCAGCCCTCTGGCAGGCAGGCCAGAGCTGTGGCCCCCTTTGCACACAGGAGGAAACTGAGGCAGGGGAGGCTAAGGCCACCCAGGGCATCGGTGGTGGAGCCGTGAATTGACCGTGGGTCTCCCTGAGCTCGCTATCAATGGCGCCACTCAGGGAGCTGGCAAAGTCCATAATCCTCATGCTTCAGGGCTTGAGCGAGCAACACCGGCAGGGGTCAGGACGCCGTCCCCACAGCGCCCGGCACTGGGTCTGGCCGGGTCAACGGGCCAAACAGGAAGGGCTTTTGCTCTGATCAGATGCAGCAGAGCGGCCGGCCATTAGCACCCATGGGTGTGAAAGAACACGGGGGGAAGGGGGTGTGTGGATGAGATGAGACACCCATGGGCTGGGACCAACAGGCAAGAGAATGGGAGACTCCGGCACAGGGGGCACATTGAGCTAGCATCAGGGGTACCCCAGATCCTGGCTCCCCCTCGTCTCCTCTGACCTACACCCAGCAGCCCCCGCGCTCCGACCCGCCAGCGGGGCTCCCCCAGGGTCTGATTCACTTCCACCTGGACAGTCAGAAAACCCAGCCTCGATTCTCAATCTGAAAAGGTCCCATTGACGGTGCCTCCGCCAGCTTCTCTAGCCCCACCGCCGGCTGCCGAGGTCTCCCTGCCTCCTGCTCGGCACCTCTCCCCGGGGGCTAGTCGGCGAGGGCCGTCCCCAGGAGCCTTCCCCTAACTCCGTCCCTGCTGCCACTCTCCCTAGCTCCCTGCAAGGCTGAGCGCGCCCAGGACTTAACACTGGGGCTGTAATGAATAGCAGCACCTGGGATTCTCCCCTCTCTGCCTGATCACAGTAGGCCCAGACAGAGCCCGAGGGGCTGCCTCCTTCCCACGGCTCAAGGGGGCCTCCGCCGTGCTGTGGAACATGGGATTCCAGGGCCGCTCCGCACCCCTCCCCGGCGTGGCGTGAGCTCCGTCTCTCTCTCTTTCAGAGACGCACCTGCCAAAGGCACCTTCCCCGCAGCTCCCGGCCGACTCTCAAAACCTGCTGCCCTTTGCCTCCCCCGGGCCGGCCAAGAGCCGCCAGAAACGGAGGCCGCTGGCCAGCAGCCGCCTGTGGGAGCAGCCGGAGGAGCAGGCGTGCCGGCTGCGGAGCCTGCTGCTGCGCGTCAAGGACCTGGGCCTGGGCTACGACTCGGAGGAGACCATCCTGTTCAAGTACTGCAGTGGGACCTGCCCCCGGGCCCGCACCAACCACGACCTGACGCTCTCCTTGCTGCTGCAGAAGAGCGAGATCCCGGCCTGGGGCGAGGAGAAGATGGTGGGAGACCCCTGCTGCCGGCCCACGCACTACGAGGACGTGGCCTTCCTGGACAACAGCCACCAGTGGCACGAGGTGGAGAAGCTCTCGGCTTCTGCCTGCTCCTGCGTCGGCTGACGCCGCTGGGGGGGAGCGCCAGTGGGGGGGGCATAGCTCTAAGTTAAAGCAGCCAGTGTTTCTTCCTCCCGCACCTTCAACCTGTAGCCTGAGAGAAGACCAGACGCCACCCCACAAGATGGGGGCCTCGACCTATGCCCCTGGAAGGGCTCCCTCGAGGGGTGGGAGAAGGGACCTGCTAACACCACTACCGGGGATAAAACAAAGCCACGGCCAGGCCAACCCCCGCCTGTTTCTATGCATCGCTGAGACGCAAGCTTGTTTGCTAAGTCCTGAAACGTCACAGGTATTTAGGCTCCTCACTTCCATTGACGCCAATGGGAGTTAGGCACCTAACTATCTTTGACGAGCTGAGCCGGAGGTCCGGCCTGGAGGAGGGGTGCCTGGCTCACCTCCACGCCGCTGCCGGGGAGAGCTGGACGATAACGTGAGATATTTATGGATTCCTAAGTTATTTATTTATTTGGTTTCTTCCACAGAGGGCAGGGATCTCATTCCCGCAGCCTCCCTACCTGGCTTGTTCGAGTCCCTTTTTAATTTATTTGCCTCTTTCTGCTAGTAGAGAGTCAGGGATTTTGTTTGCTTGTTTGCAGGCATGTCTTGGGAGCAGCTGAAATGTACGTGGTGGTTTCACACTAATAAAAGCCGTGAAAGTGATCGAAAGGCCCGTGGCTGTTTTGTGAGACACATGGGGAGGGATTTCTTCCTCTCAGCTAGCATGGGGCATCCCTTCGGTGTACCACAATGGGGCCCGGCTCGTGGCTGGCCTTCAGAGGCTACTTGGGTTAACCGGTAGGGGCTGGAGCAGCTCCCCACTGCCATGGGCAGGGAGGGGGCCTCTCCAGCGCTGCTCGGCCCGCTGCGGACAGGGCCTGCTCTGGACGCTCGGAGCAGCCCGTCTGTAGCGTGCTGAGAAGAGGGGGCGTGCAGGCAGACTCTTCTGGCCATGGCAGGGGAGGAGGAAAGGATGCTCCAGCCCAGCCAAGCTAGAGAATCCCCCTTTAATTGGTTAACCGATTAAACAGGATTTGACATCCCTCGTCACTCCCGTAACACGAAGGGTTAATAATAACGTTTGGAAACCAGCTGCATGTTAGAAGACATGATTTTCCATGAGGGAAATTCACCAAAATGTGCCAGAGCCGGCAGATCCTTTTAGGAACAAGGATGCTCCAGCCCAGCCAAGCTAGAGAATCCCCCTTTAATTGGTTAACCGATTAAACAGGATTTGACATCCCTCGTCACTCCCGTAACACGAAGGGTTAATAATAACGTTTGGAAACCAGCTGCATGTTAGAAGACATGATTTTCCATGAGGGAAATTCACCAAAATGTGCCAGAGCCGGCAGATCCTTTTAGGAACAAACCGAAGCAGCACACTGTCTGAAGTGTCCGTCCCTGCTCAGCCCTGCCCGTAACAAAGATCGCAGGGGAGACGTTTCCACTTTAGATTTCACTTGTTGGGTTGAACAGGCACTGTGCAATCAAAGCAATGTCCCCGCCCTGTCAACGTGGTAGATTACCTCGTTCGTTAATTGCACTGCGGATGAGACTGTAGGTACCTGGTTGCCGGGGGCACATACGTCCGCAGACGACTCCACGGCTCCCTGTTGAGGGGAGAAGTCCCCTGGTTAGTCGTGGCTACAGACCTCCACAGGCAGGAGTGACAGTGAGCTCAGCTGAACGCATTCAGCTCTGTTCCAGCATGGAGAGGGGCTAGTTTCCAAGCCCACGGCTCCACTAGCGTCTGGAGCCCTGGGGCTGGTTCTACGTCGGCGCGGGCAGCACAGGCAGGTTCCTGCAGATGACGGAAATCCGTCTCTCTCGGGGGATCTTCTGGCCATCAAAAAAGGACTCCTCGTCTTTGAGGATCTCGTGGGTGAACTCGTAGCGAGCCGCGCCCCTGTGGGAGAAAGGCACTCTGCCTCAGCCCATGTGCCACTGGCCTCTATAACCTAGGACAAGGGAGAGCTGACTTCGATTCCCTGCTCTGCTACACACTCCCTGTGAGGCCATGGGCAAGTCACTTACTCTCCCTGCCGCAGTTCCCCCAGGAGTACACTGGGGATGAAACCTTGCTCTGTGCCACCGCGGGTTGTGAGGAGAAATACAGTAAAGATTGTGAGGTGCTCAGGTACTATGGGGATGGGCCAAAACCAGGCCCCGACAGAACAACTGAGGGCGAGTTCAGTCCGAGTCCATAGCACATTCAGTCCTCGGCCTCTGCACCGAAACTGAAGTCAGGGTGCCCAGTCTCCACTCCCAGCAGCCACTAGGGGAAGCACCATGCCCTAGTGGGTAGAGACTGGGAGTCAGGAGACCTGGCTTCTGTGTCTGGCTCTGCCACTGGCGTGCTGGATGATCTCGAGTCTGGCACGTCGCTGCTCCCTGCCTCAGTTTCCTAGTAAAACGGGGGTAATTATACTGACCTCTGAGCCATGCTGCTGCTAAGAGCTATACGGGACCCAGGGATTATTAACAAAGTCCCGCCCTCCCCCCACCCCAAAACGAACTCATCACACAGAAGCAAAAAGCCCTCCTTTGGCACCTCTCCCAAAACTCCAACAGCAGAGAGGAGGTGCCTGGGGTGTCACCGCTGTTACCTGATGATGTACAGCGAGCGGCGTGGCAGCAGCAGGGCCATCCAGTCCTCGGGGTTCTGTTCGCTGACCAGCAGCATCACGCTGGAGGACAGCAGGGACAGCCCCGCAATCGTGCAACCGCAAAACTAACGTGGGGAAGAAAGGGAGCGATAAATGCCAGTAATGCAGCCAGGCACGTCTCGCACACTGGTCTTCCTAGCCCTTTGGAACCCAGCATGGAGGTTGCCCACCCAGCCCCCAAATGCGACCGCCTCTGGGGTGGTGCACGGCAGCTGTTTGCCAGCATACAGCAACACTAGGGAGTTTTAGGACAGAGAGCGAAGAAATAAAGCAGCAAGGAAAATTGGAAATGCCCGGCTGGATCTAAACCGGAATTAGGTCAGGATGTGGTGTGGATTCCCCCTCCCACTGCCGTCAACACTGCCATGTCCTGCTTTGCTTTTATCCCTCCCCCAAAAAAGTAACACAGCACCTCGCGATATCATGCTGGGCCAGCATAGATTGGGGAGAGTCCCCTGTTGAATCACCACCCTGCCTTCCCTAGCACCACGCTCGGCATCAGCTCGCACGAGAGAGCTCCCCTCCTCACTCCCTACAGAATAAAGGTTTTGCCTTCCAGCACGGACTTGACCACATCCTGTGTAGGATGAAAGATAAAGCCCGAGACGCTCTGGCAGAAGGATAAACCATTCTACCCCCATCCCCTCCAGCCTCCTCAGAGAGTCCCGCAGTTTCACCTTGACGCTGTCTACGTGAGGTTTGATGTAGCCGGTTTTATCCAGGTCAAGGACATGGACAAGCGAGAGCTGCGGCACCCCCGGTGGGAAGGCCGTATCCCGGACACGCTGCAAGATCTGCTGGCTCTCCTCGCTCCAGTGGGATATCTCGGTTTCCCGGCAGCCACGAATGGCC